ATTCATCTGCAATGTTACAGCTTAAGGTTGCCAACTACTCTGCTATGCTTGCTGACTATGACTACACCAGCTATTCCAAGCTTCAGGAGCTTTTTCAGTTTCTTCCGGAGCAGAAGAGACCCCAGCTCCATAGCATTATTCCAGAGGGCCACACAATTTCCTGCACCGCTTTACAGTCTGCAACGGATGTGGCAGGCACTGCAGCTCACACAACCACGACTGCTATAGCCATGCACAGAGCCTCGTGGCTCCTACGGAGCTGCAGCAAAAGGTGGAAGACCTCCCATTTGATAAGATCAATCTGTTTGTGGGCAAAACAGACAAAGTCCTACATTCTATGAAAGATTCCTGGACAACCTTAAGAACCCTAGGCATCTATACACTACCTAACACGTATCAGAGGGGTAGCCGTGTTAGTCTGAATCTGCAAAAGCGGCGAGGAGTCCTGTGGCACCTTTATAGACTAACTGAAGTGTTGGAGCATAAGCTTTTGTGGGCAAAGACCCACTTCATCAGATGCATGCTAATACCTAACAAGAGGCTCAAATATAATAACTATTCAAGACCGAGAGAGTCCTACAGGCAACCACTCTGGTACCACTTTAGACAGAAATATAGTGCCATCGGCTTTCAAAGGGAGAGACTTCACACAGAACCATTTCCTAACACAGAAGAAAACCGAAGGATGGAGGCCCATTTTAGACCTAAGGAAACTCAATAAGAATGTAACATACAGAAAGTTCAAGATGGTGATGCTAGCAACAGTTATACCTGCATTAGATCACAGGGATAGGCTCTTGGCCCTTGACCTTCAGGATGCATACGCATCCATCATTCCCCATAATGATCCATCCTGCACACAGACGCTTTTTACATTTCATAGTGGGCAAACAACACTATCAGTATCACATCCTCCCACTGAGACTCTCAATAGCACCCAGACATTTTTTGAAGATTCTAGCCATAGTATTGGCACCTCTCTGCTGTCTGGGAGTAATACTATTCCCATACCTTGTCAACTTCCTCATAAAGGGTTTGTCATTCCAGGAAACTCAGGTCATGGTCAACACAGCCATTTTTCTCTGACTCAACCTTGGGTTTCACACAAACTATCAAAAGCCACACTCCAGACTCTAGAATGTATAGAGTGCGCCTCCATTTCACATCAGCCATGGCAACACTACCTAAATGCAGATTCAAGGCCCTTGCAGGGCTTATAGCCACAGCTTGCAAAATGCCAAATATCACAGTGCGTGAATGCCTCAAAATTCTGGGTCATATGGCAGCAACCACGTATGTGGTGAGACTGGCCATACTGCACATGAAGTGCTTACAAGCATGGCTTGCTACAGTCCATACCTTCTCCAGGTACTCCTTAATCAAAACTGTTGTTATGCCACCACATGTCCTTATCTTGCTACATTGGTAGACATAGCCTCACAACATGTTACAAAGGGTACCCTTCCAGCAACCTGCTCCCACTGTTACCATTACGATGGACACGTCTCTTCTGGAATGGGAAGTCCATCTCGAACCCCATACAGTGAAAGGCAAGTGGTCCTACAATGAACAAATGCTCCACACCAACCTGCTCGAGCTGAGGGCAGTCTGTTATGCACGCTATCATTTCCTCCCATGCATAACACACAGAATGATCAATATCATGACAGAGAACACACTGTGCATGTACCACATCAGTTGGCAGGGTGGAGCCCAGTCCATCTCCCTCTGTACAGAAGCCTTGAGACGATGGAATTGGTGTATTACACACCATATCACCCCTATTGCTACGTACCTACCAGGGACACTCAATGTGATGACAGACAACTTTAGCTGCGTTATTTCAGACCAACACTAGTGGGAACTAGACTCTTAAGCCCTGCAGGAGGTCTTTCACAAATGAGGACAACTAGACATAGACCTGTTCACAACCATGTCCAATCGAAAGTGCCACCTAGTCTGCTCCAGAGCAGCCCTTTACAAGATGGGCTTTTCTCTTGAAATGGGATGCATTCCCACCTCTTCCTCTAATTCACAGAATAATAATGAAAATCAGACAAGACCGAGCTTGGGTAATTCTCCTTGCACCAGCATGGTCGAGACAAACCTGATTCCCTTACTTGCACAGATTAGCGACAGCAGATCCTCAGACCTTTCTTCCACAATGTGACCTCCTTACTCTACACCACGGCCACATTCTCCATTCTGATCCAGAGAGACTTCATCTGAAGACATGGCAACTTCATGTCTCCAGAATGCCAAAACTATCTGCTCAGAGAGGCTACGTCTAGACTGCAAGACTCTTTCGAAAGAGGTTTTTTCAAAAGTATCTTTCGAAAAAGCCTCTTTCAAAAAAGAGCATCTAGATACATCCAGTACTTTTGAAAAAGCAAGCCACTTTTTCAAAGAGAGCACCCAGGCAGTCTGGATGCTCTCTTTTGAAAAACAACAGTTTGCATTACATAGCACCTTTTTTTGAAAGAGCACTTGCCTTCTAACTCGATCAAATGAGACCCTAGAGAAACTCAACAAGACTCCTCTTGTCATTCACAGAGCACTCCAGGGGTCAAGCTGTCTCCTCTCAGAAAATATCCAAATGGATCTCGTTTTGAATTCACACATGCTTATACCACTCATAACAATCAGCTGCCAAGCATCATCACAGCTCACTCCACAAGAGCAGTGGCTTTTACCACAGCCTTCCTTAACAACATTCCTCTAGAGGACATTTGCATGGTAGCACCTTTGCCAAACACTATGCTCTTATCTCTGCTATTTCTCCAGCAACATCAGTCAGATAAGCGGTGCTATTCTCAATTTTGGGAACGGCTCCAAACCCACCTTCATGATACAAACACTGCTCTGTAGTCACCCAGAGTGGCGCACTCACAGGGACATCGCTTGAAGAAGAAAAGAATGTTACTCACCCCATGCAGTAACGGGGGTTCTTCGAAATGTGTGTTCTCGTGGGTGCTCCACTATCCTCCTTCCTTCTCCTACTTTGGAACCTGTTTGGGGGCTAGAACCAAGATAGAGAAGGAACGGAGGCACCATGCACACTCTTGATAGACACTAATGGCACAAGAAGACGCTATTGTGTACATGAGCAGCATGGCAAGGCACTGCTAGAAAAGTCTCCAGCGCAAGGATGCACCAGCACCCCAGAGTGGAGCACCCACAGGGGAACACATCTTGAAGAATCCCCCTTACTGCACAGGAGTTACTGTAGAGAGTTACTGTAACTTTCTTTTATGGATCAACCGTGTATGACCAAAAAATGGCTTTGTAAGCTTGTAAATGATCTCAGTTTTCTTATTTAAAACAAATCTATATATTGAGCTTAAAGAGATTTAAAATTCGACAAACTCCTGTAGTATTCTTTGATAGACCACAGTTTGCAAAAGACATAGTAATACAGTTAAGGCACCAATTAGCAGAATAATATTCAGATTTAACATAGCTATCTAGTGAAATATTTCTGGATACTATGAGCCAGATTTAAAGCCAGGCATAAAGGTGTAAACTATAGTAACACAATTAATATATATACATTTTTTCTGACCATTTCTATGGAGATCAGAAAATGGCTCTACTTATTTTTAAAGTCTTTTCTGAGCAGTTACTTCTCTCAGAGACAACCTTAATGTGGGATCAGCAAAAAAAAAAATGTTTTGTGTCTTGTCTTTTCCATGCTTTTCTATCCGGGGCTTGCTCTGTGAATATTGCTCCCATGGGCAGTGGGTGAAGGTAAGCCCCAAGCCCCGTCCCTAGCCCTTATGGATTCCCTAACATGGTAAAATCCCATTCAAAGAATGGGCTTTCCCTATACTGGGGTTTTCCAAATAAGAATGGCCATACTGGATCGGATCAAAGGTCTGTCTAGTCAAGTAAAAATTTTTGACAGTGGCCAGTGCTAGCTGTTTCAGAGGGAATGAACAGAATGAGTAATCATCACATAATCCATCCCGTCACCCATTCCCAACTTCTGGAAGACATAGACTAGGGATACCATCCTTTCCCATCATGGCAAATAGTCATTGATGTACCATAAACTTAACTAACCCTTTTTTGAATCATGTTACAGTCTTGGCCTTCAAAACATCTTTTGGCAAAGAGTTCCATGGATTAACTCTGAGTTATGTGAAGAAATACTTCCTTTTCATTTGTTTTAAACCTGCTATCTATTCATTTCATTTGGTGATCCCTAGTTCTTGTATTATGAGGAGTAACACTTCCTTATTTACTTTCTCCACACCAGTCAGGATTGTATAGATCTCTATCATGATTTTAGATTATCTAGCACTGCATATCCAAACCACTAGGGCAAGGGTGAGTAATAGAGTAGCTCCCCATCAAAAATTAAGAATTTTGTAAGTAGTGAAGGACCACATTCTTCCATGATATTAGTGGAGGAGATGTGAAGTCTGTGATGGTGGTTGGGTGCAGAAGGAAGTTTGGGGTAAGGGATTGGGGTGCAGGAGGTGGTGTGGGATCTGGAGGGAGTTTGGGTGAAGGAGAGGGATGCAAATGAAGCCCGGGAAATTCAAATCCCGGGATTCATTTGCAACTCCGGTTGCCTACATTACCACCCCAGTTCGAACTAGGGTGGTAGTGTAGACATACTCTCAGGCTTCTATTTCCTGAGAAGTTTCCACAGGCCATTGCCAGGCATTCTCCAGCCCAAGTAAACAGGTTGGGACTGCTCTGTGCTGGGGAATCACTCCAGTTCATGGGCAGGAAATCCCTCAGCACAGATAACACTGTGGGAAGTTAAACGATGTTAACAGAACATTTAATTGTAAAAGACGAAGCATGTATTTGAAAAGATTTTTCTTGGTGATGGAAAATTCTCATGGATTTTTGCATCAAAAGTATATTTATGAACCTTGGTCTTGTATGGTTTTTTCTTTCCATGCTTGTTACAATATTGTTACATGTTGGTATAAATAAAGAAAAAATTAAGACAAACTAGACCTTGCTAATATTTTGTGTCTTCTAAGAATGATGTGGTTATGGGGACTCTGACAGTGAGAGAAAATTTTGAGTTCTCAGCTGCACTCCGTTTGCCAAGCATTGTGCCCGAACAGGAAAAGAAGGAACGAGTTAACCAAATCATCAGGGAACTGGGTTTGGTTAAAGTTGCAGATTCTAAGGTAATTACACATAGTATAGCACGACATAGTATTTAATATTATCAAACAAAAAGCTGAGGAATCATAAGGTTAGCATTGAAATTACATAATATTTAACAAATAAACCTTAGGATGTTGTAGTTACAAACAAGATAGCATTTGAAAAAAAAGGAATTCAGAGTTAAGACTACCTTAATGAAAAGAGATTGGAAAATGCCATTATGATATTCTATACGTAATAGCTCAGTAATTTCTATATCAAATGTGTTCAATTTGCGATTCAAAAAGTGTGTTTTAAACTTCCATCTCTGAGACAAACCTTGGGTTCTTAAATGAAGCTGGGATCTTTCTTTCTAGCACATTTTCACCCATAATAAAGATACTGCATATTAAATGATTCCTTATGATACTTATGCAATCCTCTTAAGTGAATGGGGGAGTGTGCAGATGTTACTGATTGGTTGAGCAAATGGAAGTTAATAAAATAATTCTGTGAAAAGAACAGACACCATCTTAGTGTCGCTAATGGAAGTAAATTGCAGTACATATTATTGTTGTGCTGAAAGTCACTAGACGTGACTGCATACATGCAGGAATCAGATTTGTTGAGTTAGAATGTGCATTTTATATGTAATCACTTTTGATAATAGTGTTGCTCTTTGCTCCCTAACATCCCACCATTTGTGGCACCATTCATATACTGTAAGTACAGGTCTATACATATATTTTTTATCTTGCGGTGCTTAGAAATCATAGGGATTAGCAGTATGGAGAAAGATTTTTCTTATTTTAAACTTACAGCATTCTAATAAGGCTTTTTTAAAAGTTACCTAAATTTACAAACTTTATCTTAACGGATTCTTAATGGATTTTTTTTGTTAGAAAACTGGCTTATTTTTGATGCATTGCTAAATCATGTGAATGTGTTATTCCATGTAAATATTGATTTCTGGTCTAACACCTGAAGTTGGCTCTACTGTTTTCCTGGATTTTGAGACTAACAACTAACTTATTTATTTAAAAAACAACTCTTCTTTTAGATGTTAATTTTTTTTGCACTAGGTTGGCACCCAGTTTATTCGTGGGGTTTCTGGGGGAGAGAGAAAAAGGACCAATATTGGAATGGAACTTATTACTGATCCTGCAGTCTTGTTCTTAGATGAACCAACTACTGGGTTGGATGCCAGCACTGCCAATGCTGTCTTACTGCTCCTAAAAAGGTGACTGGAAAGAACTTTGATAGAAAGGTCTTTGATAGAAATTAACTCCATATATCTGGGAAAGGAAACTATGGGCTTCCACAAATGAAATTTCCTTCTAATTCTGCTATTCATGCAGTGTATTAGTATTTATCGCTCCCCTCTCTGGTTCAGAGGGAGGTCACTCAATCTCATTATATCACTGGAGTACCACCTCATTTCAGGGGAGTCATGATTCAAGCAATAGAAATGTAGCCGTGTTAGTCTGGTGTAGCTGAAGCAAAATACAGGACTATGTAGCATTTTAAAGACTAACAAGATGGTTTATTAGATGAGCTTTCGTGGGCCAGACCCACTTCCTCAGATCAAGTAGTGGAAGAAAATAGTCACAACCCTATATACCAAAGGATACAATTTTAAAAAATGAACACATATGAAAAGGACAAATCAAATTTCAGAACAGAAGGTGGATGGGGGGGGGAAGGTGAATGTCTGTGGGCTAATGATATTAGAGGTGATAATTGGGGAAGCTGTCTTTGTAATGGGTAAGATAGCTAGATCCTTTGTTTAAACTCACATGTAGAGTGTCGAATTTTAGCATGAATGACAGTTCAGAGGATTCCCTTTCAAGTGCAGATTTGAAAGATCTTTGTAGCAGGATGCAGGTAGTTAAGTCGTTGAGATAGTGTCCTTTCTGGTTGAAATGGCAAGAAACTTTTTTCTTTGTGATCCTGTCTGATACCTGTTTTGTGGGCATTGATCCTTTGGCGAAGTGTCTGAGACGTTTGTCCAATGTACATAGCAGACAGACACTTTCGGAACATGATAGCATAAATTATATTTCTGGATGTGCAGGAATATGTGTTCTTGATCTTATAACTCACTTGGTTAGGTCCAATAATGGTATCAGCAGAGTGAACATGTGGACAAAGCTGGCAACGGGGTTTGTTGCAAGGGAAGGTACCAGGGTTGGTATTAGTGTGGTATGTCCTGTGGTTGTTGGTAATTTTTACATACTATTTTACATACTATCATCTGTATCTGATGTACAATAAATAGTGCATGTCTAACAAATGATTTGTTGCCAACTCCACCACACAGAGGAGTAAACTTAAAAAAAAACCCAACAAATAGTCTGATAACATGTAGATGGTGTCATGAGCTTTCATGGTCACAGCCCACTCCTTCAGATGACCAGAGTGATGGATGACCAGAACTAAAATAAATAGGAGAAAAGGGGGGAAGGACAAGAAGAGGCAGTGGGTATAAAAATATTAAGGGGAAAGGCTAGCTGGAATGTAACAGGAAAAACAAATAGTCATAAGCACCTAAAGACTGGATAGTCAAAAGAGGCAGATAAGAACCATTAGTAGGCAGTTAGTAAGGACAAGTACTAACACCAGATACTATACAGACAGAACCATTGGCATCTTCGTTTTTGGTAGGTTGATAATGTCCCAGCCATCTGGTATCTTTATTTAAATCATTAGCATGAGTATCAAGCTTGTGAATGAATTGTAGTTCCAGTCCTTCCCTGTGTATTTGGCTTGTGGAATTGGTCTGTAACAAAAAGAGCCACTTGAAGATCTGTTAATGAATGCCCAGGCAGATTGAAGTGTTCCCCAACAGGTTTTTGTATGTTCCCTTTACAGATATCTGATTTGCGTCCATTAATTCTTTTCCGTAGGGACTCTCCAGTTTGCCCAATATATATTGCAGTGGGGCATTGCTGGCATTTGATAGCATAGATTAGATTCCTGCATGTGCAGTTAAATTAACCTCTGATTTGGTGGCTTATGTGATTGGCTCCAGCAGTGAATTCGCTTGTATAGCTATGTGGGCAGAGTTGGCATCAGGGCTGGGTTCCTGGATGTTTATGATGTAGCCGTGTAGCATGTTTGCTGTAATGCTTGACAGAACAAATTAATACCGGTGAGCTTTGAGAAAGGAAGGTGTCTTGCAAACCCAAATCAGAGGCCATTTAATCTTGAAAACATTGAGAAAATTGGGAGTGGGTGAATGGAGACAAGAAGAACAGTTAGGAGACTCTTTTCCAGAGTGGAAAACAAAATGGGGATTTTGGGGAATTTTTTTTAATAGCAGAAGCTAAAAATCTGTTGCCAAGTTCTGTAGTGGTAATGAGGACTAGGCGCTGAATTTCACAGGCAACTCTGGCTGTGGAATCTCAGAAATCACAGGGTATTGCTTATAGCATATTTTGTTCCCAGATGTGGAGGTTAATAAGCTGTGGTAAAACACCAAGATCTTGAATTTTATTGTGTGTGTGTGTTGTCACTGGTTGCTTTGAAATCTGAAAAGATCTACATTGCTAGAGTGAGAGATCTTGCTTCCTCCCCCTACCCTGGTCTGGGGCTCTAGCAAAGAGGAAAATCTTGTTTTCATTTGCAGCCTAAGATGTTTGAGCAAGAAGCCCTAGTTTATATCAATGTTCTCACTTTTTTGGCTAGAACTTAAGATGTTTTGTATATTCAGCAAATTTTTTCTTAGCAGAGGTGGAGGCGGCGAAAAAAAGCCTCAAGGTCACCACAAAATTGTATCCAGTTTGTGGGGGACGTGGGGCAGATTCAAGCAGTGAGGTCAAGGCAGCTCTGGCAGGATAGAATAAGGTAAACAATCTCAGGCCCTCAGTGTGAAGGAATCAAATAGTTGTGGGGCTCAGACTCTCAGGCATGACAGAGCAAACAGTCTTAGGGTATAGGAGTGGAGCCACAAGCAGGCAGAGCTCAGGCCCTCAGGCAGGGCAGAACACCATACAGCCTGTCATCCTAGCTCTGGCAGACTCCAGACAAATGCTGGCCCCTTGGCCTAAGGTGGGGAGGTTGTCACCTCAAGAATGGGTTTGGCAGCAGGTAGTAGGGGTTCCAGCCCTACTGTACTCTACCAGGTCTTAGCCCAAGGCCCTAACAGTGGCAGATAGTTCCACAACTGGATAAGGAGGCATCCAGCCTAGAATCAGGCAGCAAAACAATCGGACTATAGTCAGCTGTCTCTGAGATAATTTCTACCCTCCCACCAAAATGTATCTGCAGCTCAGAGTTGTTCCTGGCCTCTTCAGGATATGTGGCAAGTAGCAGTCCTGGCAGGTTTTCACCCGGGTCAGCCTTCTCCAGCAGCAGGGTATAGTGTGGCAAGGTGCAGTCCAGGGAGCTGTAGCAGCCAGGAGACATCTGCTCACTTCCCTGGCTCAGATTCATGCTTCCTGTCCTACCCCTTAGTTTCCAGGAGATGGGTGAGTCTGGCATGGCTCTGCTCACCAAGAATCACAAAGTGGCTTCTCCTTTTCTAAGTCAGTGGAAGGCCACTCTGCCTCACTATAGTGGGTCAGACTCTTTCTTCTGTCCCACACCCCACAAAAGAGACCAGGAGTTTGTAGTAACAAACTATTTTGGAGGATCTGCCTGGGGAAAGGGACTTAGATGTAGAAATCTTATGCATGCACAGTTAGCTATCTTGCCAGTTCTGTCTCATTGTTTGTAATGGGTGAGGAAATGCCACACCTCATTGGAAAGAATAGCAATGTTAGTTCTTCTTCGAGTAGTGTCCCCGTGGATGCTCCACTGTAGGTGAAGGGTCGCCTTGAGCCTCAGATCGGAGCTTTGTATAGCAGTTTCCCCTGTTGAGCCACGCATGCCCAGGAGGCGTCTCGAGCCCTTCCCGCCTCCTGAGGAGCGCGGCTCAACCCCCTCCCTTTCAGTTCCTCTTTAATCGCCCTCGTCAGCGGACGGAGCAAACAGGAGCTCCCTGTCAGACTCTCTGACTACTCTCCTTTCCCCAGTTTAGTCATAGTTCTTTTCCCCTGTTATTCCAAGTTAGCTTTCCTTGTTTCTTTAAAAAAAAAACAAAAAAACAACCTAGTAACAAGAACAATACACTTACCTAGGGGCTTGAACCCGCTTCAAACCGGGACTCTGAGGTACCGGCGTTCTCACAGCTGTTCAACACAGGAAACAAAGAAAAGAGTTTAAAAAAAAAAACCAACACACGGAGACAGACGAGAACAACAGTAACAGCCAAATAAATACATAGAACAAGCTCAAAGATGAGAGAACCGGCCATGTCCAGCTCCTCGGGCTTTAAAAAAATGTGACCAATGCTGGGATCCTAATCCGGCTTCAGATGGGCATTCAAAGTGCATTCGCTGTTTGGGGGAATCTCACTCTCCCCACAGCTGCACTCATTGCAATTCACTCATGGCGAGAGACAGGAAGGACCGAGAGCTCCGCCTAAGAATGATTTTATTTGAAAAGGCTTTACAGCCCGCTGGGGAACAGGCGGCAACGCGACAAGAGCCCCCCCCACCCTCCAGGAGTGAGCCATGGGGCAGACCCTCACCATCCCGCTCCCTACCAGCCTCTTCCTCTCCAAAACATGGAGGAGAGGCACACCAGAGCGGGAGGACCCCTGCTACGAAGGCTTCGGGGTGATCCTCCCGCTCCACACCGGCATCGGGGCGTGCTACAGCTGAGCGGGCCCGGGAGCGCTCCAAACAGTCGGCACGGCAAGAAAAGCCGGCGCCGAAGCAAACCACGGTGCCGCTTCAAACCGCGGCATCGCTTTCAGCCCCGACACTGCCTCAAGCTCCAGCGGCGCCGAAAGCCACAGCACAGCTTAAAGCTGTGGTGCCGACTAAAGCCACGGCACCGCAGCAGAGCGAATTACAGCCTGCTAAGCGCCCGACACCAGCTCCAACTAAGCAGCATGATGCTGCACTAACGCTGCCAGCACAACCAGACAGGCAGCCAGATGAGACTGCTAGGGATCAGCCTCTTCGTCCCCATCAAGGCTATCCCCTCCCAGGTCTACGTCACTCTTATCTGGCCAAGACGCTCCTCTTCCTGAGGATGACCACCGCACGTCTTATTCCTCGAGACATGCATCACCTAGGCAGTCTCGCTCCCATCATTACAGGGCTTCACCACAACAGAACCCATTGCACCCATACTGGTCTTACCCACCCCCCACCTTATCCACCACCCTGGGAACACGGGGAGCCATGTGGA